CAGGTTTTATTATTTAAATTTGACATAGTAAATAATCGCAAGTCAAAGAAAAAATCTAATAATTACATTATTGTTATCGTTATTGTTTACTAATACAATACAATAAAACTACGTCAGTGATAATCATCATCATTGTATGATACATAATTTTACCGACAATCAGTATCCGAAGTTATATGCAAGCCAGTAAAAAATCCGGCTACCATTTTTTTTTGGCGACGCTATGTAAGTCGCAAGAGGCCTTATTGGTCAGATGATCTACAGCACGTGATTCAGTAAATTTTTTTCAATAACATACTGGTGGATCTACATTGTTTATATCACAAAATATAGTAATACTATCATTATGTACAAACAGGATTTTGCTAAAGTTTTCAAAGGAGTTTTCAAAAAAACATAAAACGCCTGACAAAATTGAAGAAATAAGCTTATATAATTTCTTACTATTTTGTCAAAAGACCCTCGCAGAAAGATCAAAAACACTTAATTGGGAGGATAAGTCATCTGTGCACCAAGAATACTATAACGGAATTAAAAAGAAAATAGGTAATAATTTTTAGAAGAAATTTTATCAAAATCATTATAATTAAAAATTTTTTTTTTGCATATAGACAATCATAGAATTCAAACATGGGGAAAACTTGGCAAAAAAGACCTGGAAAATGTGCTTGATATGTATAAGGTGAATGAAATTATATTTAATATGCAATTTTTTTAAGCGCAATGATTGAAAACATATGCATCATATTTAAATCTTCCAAGTAATCTACTACTTAAAGATATATTTATGATAAATATATTATAAGTTCAGATTACTCGATTATAAATTTTCCAAGTAATATTTTCAATATTATAGTACGTCGTATGTGAGTTACTACTTCGTGCTCTTGGATTACATTTATAGCATTAAGGAAGATTCCAAGTGATCTCTTTTTCTAGATCATGCATGCCGTATGTGAAATATTACGTTATGCAGCTTGGGTTGAATTTATATAATATACTGAAACCTTTCAAATAATCTATTTATTAGACTATTGCATGTTTGTATATAAATAATTGTATCGTGCATTTGAATAGTTTCAGTAATTATATTATTCAGAGTGTATTAGAGTAATTGTTATCTACAGACATTCCATAATATATTTATTAATTCTAATGTAATTTATTTAAATAGAAAGTATATACCAAAGGATATTATCTGATCCTTCAATTTTGGGCTGATGTTGCAGCAATCTATTATATCGGTAATATTATTTCATACTGTTAATTTATTTTTTGGCATTCAGTAATATATGTATTGTTTAATTTAGGACCTAAAAACTATGAATCTCTTATTAATAAAGTTCAAATTTTGATTAGTTTATATGAGGACGTAAATGTTTTAAAGTGCACTGTGAAGTACGTTGCAAACCTTTCAGAACAACAAATTAGGACAATCATCCTAAAGGCTGAAAAAGGTATAAAGTGTAATATTATAAATAATTATGCGGAGATGATGGTAAATTATTTTTGACAATAAAATTCTGTGTGTTAAATTGTACCGTAATAATTAATAATTATTAATAATTATTAATTAGTTACAAAGCGGTCTTCCTTCTTGGTTTTCAGAGTGTTTAAAGAAACTAAAAGATTACAAAATGAATTGTTTGATGTTCCCATCATGAACCCCATTTTTTGCAACATTATAGACATAAGTAAATTTGGTGCAAAAATTTTGCATCAAATTTTCGATAAAAATCAAATTAAGCTGCTTTTTCCAGATAAAATTTTTGAATCTTCTCCTTCAGAATATGAAAATATTTATTTCGGAATAACAAATGCCCTACATAAATATGAAATGAATTCAGAATGTGCTCCAATAATTGAAATAAATGGATTTGAAACGAAGGATAAAGCAACATATCTTAACATCTTAGAAAATTGGTAAGAAAATAAGTGTTTATGTTCATAGATTTAGTGAATATAGTATTAATAATCTTTTCAGGTTTAGAGAGTGGGTTAATCCGTCACCTGTAATGTCTGAATCGTATTATGTGGAGATTTACATTTATCGACCACTTCAAATAATTTTGCATAATTTACTATACTTACGAATTCATCTCTATGGGTAGCTAGCTATATTTCTTTTAAATTATGAGTTGAGTTAGAAGAATATTCAAATATTTATTTATATTTATTAACAGTCCTGAACATGAAACTAAATGTTCTTTTGAAAGAAGAAGTTGGCATCATTATCCGCCATATGGCGAGTGGCCATCAGACTTAGAGGAATCTCGAAGTATATTTGATGTATCGGACGAGCTCAATGATCAAAACATTATTGTTGAAGAAAAAGTTATAATTAAAAATCAAATCGATGATGAACCTATTATTTTTCCATCAAATGCTACTATTCTATTAAATGAAGATGCGAAACTAGAGATTACCTATGTTCGAGTTTATTCTAAGAAGGTTGATACAGCCCTTACATATATATATAGAAATAACTTAGCATACCTTCTAATTGTAGAAGCAAAACTTCCTAATGCACCCTTTCACGGAGTTTATGATAAACTCTTACGATCAATAAATGATGCAATAAATAGTTTTCTAATTTATATAGCAAAGGATGCTAAGAATATTACAAGTATATTAGAAAATCTTTTAAAGAAATTGAGATGGATAGCAATTTTTGTTGCTGGTAAGTAGTTATTGCTTTCTTTGTACAGATATAAAGCGTATGCAAATTTATTTAATCAATTTTTTAGAGGGAAGATTTTCTTTGATGGCTATTAAGCTTATGGATAATTATCAACTTCGGTTATGTTTTCCTATAGGTGAAGCTAGAGTTCCCGTAAAATCTGACAATATTTCAGATTCAATCTTTTTGCTGAGTTTATTAATCTATATTAGGGTTCGTCTATTACTGTGGTTATTATATCTACTTCAATATTTACAATTTTGTTTTTTTTTCTTTGTAGAAAACTGTTAACGAAAACTTAATAATATTAAAAGAAATCGAAAAAGAAATTGAAAGAATTAAATCAGAATCCTCTTCTCTTGAAGAAATTAATTTGGCAAGAGATTTCCTTGAGAAGACTGTCCATGCAACGCCATCAACACCTCTAAAATATAAAAAATTTAAAATAGACTTAAGTTTTCGCATTAATTGAGTTTCATTATCAATTTTATTATTGTGAGTGGTGGGCAGTTTTGTTATTGACCTGGTCTGAGGGACCATTGATGTAAATAGAGATCAAATTATACGTGTTTTCGAACATTTTGGTAAAGGGAGATTATTAAAATTATGTTTTTTTTTTGATCCATTACAAGTAGTCTCGAATGTTAAGTCTAATTTAATTTATCACTCATTATTTGTTCAAATCACTATAATTTATCCTAGAAAAAAATGTTCAATCATAATTAAGAATAAAATGTTTTTTGACCAATGTGCTTAATTATATAAAATCATTGAACTAAATGTGCAACGTTCAAATCTTTTCGCATCCAATATTTTATTATTATTATTCATAATAATATGGGGTCACACCACATCATTTATTAGAAGTTATAGAGTTGGGCTTGGGTGAAATTATTTTTCTTTACTTTCTCGCAACATTTAACTTTCTTGTTTTCAGTCTTTATAAATATTCAATTTACTTATAAAATTTCTATGAAAAGAGCTTTATGTTGAACAGGATTTGCACCCGATTATCTTGAGGGCATAAAAAGGAGAAATACCACGCAAAATATAGAATTATTTTTTAATTTCTATCATAATTCCTTTATACTTACTGTACTCTTAAAGGCAGAGTACACGTAGATCACTTGTCATATGACTTTAATCGTATTTTTTTTTATTTTGGTATTTGAAATATTTTTACTAGCGCTAGCTTAACTGCTTTTAGACTTTTAAGCAAAGTTGTAAAGCAGATTTTTATGATTTTAATGATAGTAGAATTATTAAATTCGGATTAAAATTCGTTGAGATAGGTTTATTTAAAGATTAGATATTTATAACTATTAGTTACATAATTAAATAGTAGGAAATTTTTGTTTTAAGAAAATGTACATGTGTAATATTTACTTAAATGAAAGTTTTTGTTATACAAAATATGCTGCACAAAATATTAAACCCAAAAAAATTTTTTATATAAATGTGTGTTCCCAAAATAAAAAATATCTCGGAACTGGATTTAGTACTAAGTAACCCTCCCTTTGAGCTTAACAAAAGTTGTTCTAAAGAACAACTTTTGTTAAGCTCAAAGGGAGGGTTACTTAGTACTAAATCCAGTTCCGAGATATTTTTTTGTCTTATACTTGAAATTTTTTATTTGTCTCAAAATAACACGCGTTATTACTGTAAAGTTCAATTAAAGTTCTTTTATCGTTATATAATTGAATATAAAATTCAATTTACATTATTCAATATAATTTCCATTTTTTTTTATTTAAAAAAAATTTAAACCAATTAAATAAATTCATTACCATAAATATCTGCGTTTAAATTAGTATCATGAGATGGCCCTTTGGGGCATCCATAATCAACATCTCAGAGAAATTCGCTTAGAAGCAAATATTCCGCTATTCAACTAAAGAAGCTGATTAAAACGTTTCATGTAATTTCTAATCCTGAAAAACATAACATAGAAATATTGCCTGCATGTTACTTTAATAATAATTAACTTAATACTTGTATTTCACCAACCTAGTAGCACCACATAAAAAAAAAATGAGAAATTCTGATAAAGAGGATGAAGAATAAAAACCTCCAAAATAATATATATATATATTTACAAAAAAAAGTGAATATAAAGCCGTCAATTGTAAAAAAAAAATAGTATAGGAATGAACAAAATACACAATTATGAACGAGAACAAAGGATGGTCAATTCTGAAAGTACCGGTGAATTGCTCATATCCCAGCCACATATATTTTATCAAGAGTTCGCTTTTGCCTTTCTAAAGTATTCATCCTATTAGGTAATAAAAATTCTAGTCTATGCTTCTATTTAGCTCTTAACAACGTTAAGAACTAAGAACTTGAACGATATCACGTTCCTCAATTCCTAAAAAAAAAAGTTAAAATAACCCACTTACACTTGATTAAGTTATGTTACAAAATTCATCCCTTCATGGAATAAAACTTACAACATTCTTTACCATCAGATTTACATATCAAAAGGTTATCATTATTGAGTATTTTAGTAATCTTGCCAGTTCCAGAACCTTTAAGTACACGTTTTATATTAACTTCTCCTAAATCATTCTTAGTTACAATATCATGTTCGATTTTAAATTCGATCATACTTAAAACATTCAGTCCTTAGATTATTGCAAGCACATACAGTCTTAAAAGCAAAAATCAAATAATAAATAGTTATTGGATGTTTCGCATCCAATAACAGATTTATTTTTCTTTTTCTGTTATAACGTGAGTTTGTGTGAGTATAACAACTGTTATACGACCCATGTTTACTATGAAAAAGAAAAATAATACCATTTATCTCATAATTGACTTTGGATGACATTATGAAATCTAAAAATTACGATAAAGTAGAAATAATGTATGTAGTAATTCACTTTTTCGATTAAGTGTAGTGTTTATAAATATTTAAAAAGATCATTATGACAAAATATAGTCCAAAGTGTTTATGTAGTTTCCAAGGTTGGCATTTTATTATATTTTTTCAATTTATTTGTAATTCTCTTTACAATTTTATTGTCAAAATTTTAATACTAAATTACTATACCTCTAATAATATTTAATTGGTATAATAGTTATAATCAATTTGTATGTTTTTTTTCAATTAAACAAATTATCCAATTATATATGTATTTCTTGATCATATTGCTTCTTATTGTAATTGTTATTCTTATTGCTCTTTTCAATCAACTCTGAATCCAGTGAATTCCATGATTTTATTAATAAACACACCTGGCTTTAGCCATTGAACGTAGTGATGTGATCGCAATTTAAATTTTTTGTTTTAAATAAAATCGATTTGTTTGAATCACAAATTATGAAAGTATAAATTTTATTTTCTATCAATTGAATTAATAAGTGCGAAAGTATAAATTGTTAGATGAATTAAAAATTTTAAATTTGGCATTATCTTCAATTTTATACAATACAGTGCTGGGTTAATATCACTGGATTTAATGAACACTAGTCCCTTTTTCTTGTTAATTTCCTCAATTATCAAGTATCTAATTATTGATTTAGATGGCCTTTTGGCCAATACTGAAGAAAAATATATTCCTTTTTTTCGCATCACTAAGATTTATTACTAATTTTATTTATTAAAAATTTTACATTTTGACTGACGAAGAAATTTTCACAAATACCATATTTTTAAGTGTGCACAAATAAGGATATTTTTAATGAATCAGTAATTTAAAATATTTAAATTTTTCATGTTAAAGATTGTGGGATGAGAATAACACGTATTAAAAATAAATATTCTCGTATTCCAGTGCTATAATGTTAATGTCGATATCGATATGTAATTCGGTAAGATTAAAACAGCTTCTAACTCGTTATTTTATTGTTAATTGAACATGAGACTTTACCAGGATAAAAACTAAATTGACTCCTACGGCCATGGGGGCCGTAGGAGTTTAAAAAGTTAAAGCTGATTCTCAATAGCCATGGTTCCCAATGATATTTACCTAGCAATTTTTGTAGCAAACTAAGATCTATTAATTCTTAAAATAGTTATTTAAACCAAATTCCAATTAGAATTTTAATTAGTCGTTTATCACTTTTCAAAAAAAAAGAAATTTGGTTTAATATAGTATATTATAGATTTCTTTTATTGTACTGTACGAAATGATTTTATCTTATAACATGAGTTTTTATTTAATATCTTGAAAGTGATGAACAATGTAATCTATAAAAACATTAGGTACTTATATAAGTGTTTTGTATAATTTGTTACCATATCTATATATACCATATATCATAAATTTTTTTTTACTATCGCTATTATCAAATTATGATAAATAAAATTTTAGAACTGCAAATTACAGATTTGCCGAATTAAATTTCTAAATTTATATCTACGAATTACAAATTTTTGCCGAATTAAAGTTTTAAATTTAAATCTACGAATTATAGATTTGGCCGAATTAAATTTTTAAATTTAAATCTACTAATTACAGATTTGCCGATTAATTTTTTTCGATTTGCTAACGTCATATCGATAGAATATTTATAAATTAGATATCGATGAATGTACTTGAATTTCGCAGTCCATTTAAGATTTTAATGATTAAAGACATTTCTGGGCGAATACTAGGATCTTTATCCCAACATCTCTTGTATAGTTCAACATATTGGAGAGGTGTGTTTTTTGCTGGAATTTCCCTTAATCCTTCTAGAATCTTCAAAACAATTACTAGCGGAGTCAGTTGTTTGAATGGTGGTTGGCAGCTTGTAATCTCCCAAAAAATAACTCCAAGACTGTAAATGTCGGATTTTTTATCATATTTTAAGTCTTCGAAGCATCGGGGATCTATATATGCTGGCATTCCTTTAATTTCTGAGTTGAAACATCAGTCTGCCTCGACATACCAAAATCTATGATCTTAATTTCCTCATTATAGACAAGAATGTTTTTTGAATTCTACCAAAAAAAAGATAAATTGTTAATTTAAATAATTAAATTTATACGTATGTAGACAAAATAGATATATGCTTACTAAGTCGCCATGGACTATATTTTTAGTATGTAGAAACCAAAGTCCTTGCGCTGTTTCCTCAGCCATACGAAATTTATCAATTAATTTTAGGCTTTTGAAATTTTCTCTTAAATAATCCCGTAAATTTTTGTCAGCGTATTGTAAAACCATAAAATGATGTTCTTTTGAAGGATCTATTTTTGTAATTTATTAAAAAATAGAATTAGTAATATAACCGGTATTACGTATTTTTGGGGACTCCCAAGTACCTCATTCAATGTGATTCGACATTGTACACAAGCACTATAATTAATTCTATACAGCATTGAAGTCATTATTATATAATGATTAGGGTTCTGTAAATGCCCATGTCCGGCACATTGGCACCAGGCTAGGCACTAGTACCATATGCCGTGTCTATACAAAAGGGCATAAAATCTCAGCACATTAAAGGTATGCACAAAGCGCCAGGCACTAGCAAAGGTATGACAAAGTGCTAGGCACAAGGTGCCAGAATGGTACCGGGACAGCACCGGGCACAATTAAATAATAAATATCGAATTTCTGTGCCTGTGCCCATGCCTATGCCAAAATTTTGATACCATGCCTATAGTTTTTCTAAGTATTTATGCCTATGCCTGAATTTTTTTGAACACAAGCACAGGCACGTGCCCGGGTTGCAGGACCTAATAATGATGATCAATTAATAGTAGATCAGTGGTGGCAGAAATAATGCGTCATCACGTGACCGAAGATCATTTCCGATATGGTTTCCGACCGGAAAATCTACAGGACTAAGAAGAGAAAATTGAAAATTTTCAAAATTTAAATCAAAATATCTTGGTAACCACCTGACCAGAATCGATGATTTTTTTTTTATTTGAATTCTATGAATCCATAGAATTTAAATATAAAAATTTTTCGAATTTGTCAAAGTCAGAGAAAAATCAAACCGCCTATCAAAATAGAAGCTGCGCCAAGTTATTTTAAATGTTTGAGCGAAGATATCTCCACAACCATCTGACCAAATTCTATGGAATTTTTTTTATTTGAATTCTATAATCCACAGAATTCAAATAAAAAAGATTTCATCGGACTTGGTCAGGTGGTTACGGAGTTATCTTCGCTCAAAGTTATAGAAAAATCAACCCGCCTATCAAAAATAGAAGCTGCGCCAATTTTTTTGAAAGTTTGAGCGAAGATAACTCCACAGCCACCTGATCAAACCCGATAAAATTTATTTATTTGAATTCTATGAATCTTAGAATTTCAAATAAAAAAAGTTTTATCGGGTTTGGCCAGGTGGTTGTGGAGATATCTTCGCTCAAACTTCTAAAAAAATTGGCGCAGCTTCTATTTTTGATAGGCAGGTTGATTTTTCTTTAACTTTGAGCGAAGATATCTCCACAACCACCTGGCAAAATTCTATGGAATTTTTTTTATTTGGATTCTATGAATCCACGGAATTTAAATAAAAAAGATTTCATCAAACTTGGTCAGGTGGTTATGGAGATATCTTCGCTCAAAGTTAGAGAAAAATCAATCCGCCTATCAAAAATAGAAGCTGCACGAATTTTTTTAAAAGTTTGAGCGAAGTTATCTCCACAACCACCTGACCAAACTCGATAAGACTTTTTTATTTGAAATTCTAAGATTCATAGAATTCAAATAAATAAATTTGGTAGTTATTATGACAAAGTAATATCAAAATTTAGAGATTTTTTTTGTTAGTGGAAATTTTGATATAATTTTGACAAACCTCTACTAACTCTAATGTACTATTAGAGGCAGTATTGCTAAATTAAAATATAATGGGAGATTTTGAGAAATTTTATTCCTAGACATGTTAATTAGTTTTATTCATGAGAAGGTGCCAAAATTTTTCAAAATTTTCAAATTTCTGTGTAATGGGCGAACATTTGATGAACACAGTAATTTGAAAAGTGCAGTAATTCTAATGCAAACTAACACTCAACCACATATTGAAATTACAGAATAGCGAATAAGTTCTGTGAATTTTTATAGTAACTACAACAACTTCAATATATAGAAACTAACTCAGTGTTAACTATATGGAAATCATGATAATTCCAATGCATACTAGCTTAATTTTAACTGTATATTGTGGTTATCAAAATAGCAGTTGAGTCCTATAACAGTCATAATTATAATTCAACTAACTCGAAGTTTAATCATAAAAATTTCTGATGCAAACTAAATTTTAATCACAATTATAGTTATCAGAATATCAAGCAAGTTCTTAAAAATCTTTCTAGTAGAAATTACGATAATTTTAAAACTTTAATTACTATATGTATGCATTAAAGAGTACGTTTTGTGACAGAATTTATTATAGTAACTATAATTCTATGCAAAAAACCTAATTATATACTGTAGTCACCGGAATAGTATATTTATTAATGGAATTTTTATAAAATTAATTCTTATGCAAGCTACGTATGATTTTTATTCTCCGTTACACAGATCACTCATTGTATTGACCAGTCAAAATATCACTACGGGATTAGTCAACCAATCAAATTGC